GAGTTTCGAGACGCCAGCCTGCCAGGATATGGGCCTGGCAGCAGAGGAATTGAACCGAGTCGAGTCTTCGGAGTTGGCAGTTGCAGAATAATGAATTCGGCGGTGCAAAGAAGACTTCATGCGTGATTTGAACTGACTGTGAGACTGTTATAAATCCGCTGCCAGGAGTCCCAAGTCGTGTGTGTGTGTGTGTGTGTGTGTAAGATGTCAATAAATCCAAGCATCCAATCCAAAACACGTCTACATGTGTCAATACTTTTCATTAATTTTGCTTAACAATATTCAGAACTAAAGACATATTAAATTTCGATTACAAATTAAGCTTCCTTCCTCGTTTTGTCGTTGGAAAAATACGAGGTCGCCTTTTATTATGGCTCGTACGTTGCTTTCTAGTCGGGATAGCTCAGTCGGTATAGAGACTGGCTACGGGCTGGACGACCAAGGGGTCGGAGCTCAAGTCCCGGTATGGTCAAGAATTTTCTCTTCTCCACGTCGTCCAGACAGACTTTAGACAGACAACCTCCTATCCAATGGATACCTGGAGCTATTTCCCCGTGGGTGAAGCTCACCTCCAACTAGTGCCTAGGTCAAGAAAATGTGGACCCATACATCCGCTCCCCCATACGTCTTCATGGCGTATTGCTTAATTAGTTAATCATAGGGACAGTTTTGCCCTTGGTTTCTAATTGGTTGTTCTCTAGCCATCCGGTCACTGAACGCTGTAGCGTGCTGAAATTAAACGTAACAGTTATCCTCTAAATTTGTAGGATTTGAAGTTTTCACGGCGGTGACTATGAAGAATACCGTCTTCTGGGATGTGACGCCGTGTAGATCTGTACCGACGTTTCGGCGGAACGTGTCACCTCCATCTTCAGAGTAGAAAAATCAGCGAACGAGGAACCAGCGCAAGGTAAATATGCAGTGTTATCACATAGACCAGGAGGTGAGGCGCTGGCTTCGTACCGTGAGGACTCGGCTTCAGTCACCGCTGACTTCATGTGAGATTCGTGGAGAAATTTNCCCCCCCCCCCCAGTTTCGTCGGCTTTCCCGTGCTCCCTGTCTTTTCATCACTGCGCCATATTCACGTATCACCCCCCCCCCCCGAAGCGTGCGATAGTCTTGTCCTATCCGCACACAGTCACGTCCGCAGTCTTCAAGCAGGAGTCGCCATTTCCACGCGATACTTGACCGGTCACAAAGGAAGGAAGTTCAAAATTTGAAGATGTAATGGTCATCAACATGATTCAGTTTTTTAATGACGTAGTAGAATTTCCTTTAAATCCTTCAACAATGGCTCTACAGCCCTTTGTTGGGTCCTGGCCTCTTCTTAAGTTTCGTAATCTTTTTTACACAACGGTAGGACTCCTTGGGCGGGGGATCAGCCCGTCGCAAGGCCGCTACCTGCACACAGGACAACACAAACACAAAATAAACACACACAGACAGCCATGTCTTCAGTGGGATTTGAACCCACGATCCCGTTCGAGCGAGCGAATGACAGTTCATGCCTTAGATCGCGCGGCCACCGTGATCGGCCAGATTTTCCTTTACTGGGGTGAAAATAAACTTGACAGTGAAGTGGGGGGGGGTAGTAAGAGTGCAGCCTAACCGTCATAAACTGAGCATGCGAAATCATCAGATAGTGGCTTGTGCCTTTATGTCATCATTATC